TTTTGTTAGGGCCTACGTGACAATTTACTTTGTGTATAATAGACTAGTGGTAGCTGTCATATTGTAATCAATCTTCCTTAAAGCTTTTGTAGCCGTCATTACAGAACAATATATATTATCTCATTCTTTCTGTTCTTCTTCACCTTGTGCACTAACAGTCTCGAGATTATGACAACTTCATTCCTGACAAGAGATCTATAAGCTCAACATGAATGATATTAGTGGTCCTCATGATGCTGCAATAACCTATGATTCATTTCCCAAAAACCTACGAGGAATAACTTAACTTGTTTCCCTATGCAGTTTTCCTCTATGTAACACCGACACCTTTGAAAAAATGCGTGTCTGTATCAGTATAGACACATGTACGACATATTTAATTATATTTAATTTATTCATTTTTTCAAATTATTACTGGTGTCACCGTATCAGTGTCGTAGTCATATTCGAGATGTCTGTGCTTCATATTTTCCTTAATCCAATTAGTTGCATTGTTCTGCGCAATGAAATTGGTCTCATTGAATCCTTTTGCCTTCTCATTCATCTTAGCTATGTTACAATATCTCAAGCAGTGGAGAATGTCTTCTGCATGATTTAAGCTTCGAGGGCACTAGTCAGCAGCAGCCATGTTCCTATGACTCAGAAGGCCAAGAGTTGGCCTGATTTGATGACAAACACTCCGTATGAAAACCTTTATTTTCTCATGGAAACTAAGTCTCCAAGTCCAAGACCATAACAAATAATGGCTCAAGTTAATTTTCTTATCCAATAACCATGCCTAATCTAACAGGCGGGTGTGTGATCATTCAATGCCAAATGTTGATCATTAATCCTTCATTGCCATTTGTTCAGCTTGTCTACAATGAAGTTAAAGTAAGGTAATTCTACAAAGTGTTAGTACTCCTAATTATGGTCATAGCACTCATTTTGGTGATCTTGCTCCCAATGACTCCACTAGAGAACATAGCCCTTGACTCCACAAAGTCCATTTTGAGAACTAAATTTCTGGAAAATGCTAGCTATTCGCCTACCATTTGTACATGCGAAGCTCCAAACACCTGCAAGAATAGGATTGTAGCAGGTCATCGACCAAGAAATCCGTCTTTCCATTCCAAGACATGATAGTTACTTAAGAGTTGCTACAAAGTTACAATATAGGCATGAATTCTTAAATATGATGAGGCATAATGAAAATCACATTACACAAGCTAAACACTCCAAAACCAGATGCTTCAAAATTCTCAATTACTAATCCATGGTGGACTACTATCACATTAGAATTTCTCTCAAAACAAACATAAAAACAGAAAAACACAAATTCAAAGACATGATCATTAAACAGCAGTAGTCAAAGGTACATGAATATCCTTATAAAGACAAACATAAGGAGCATCAGTCCCATGATACTTCCCAGTCCACATTCCCTCAGCAATACAACTCGCATCCCAAACCGAAGCATACAAAAACATAGCCTTTTCAGGAAACCCTTCACCTTCCTTCTTCTCCTCTCTCCTCACAACCTCCCCATCAACCAACCACTCAATCACCTCCACACCCCACTTGATTCCATATTCATGAAACCCATCAGCCGAATCAAAACCAAGCTCGTGAATTCTTTCTCTGTTACCATCACCGTTGGAGTAATAGTTTGTTTGCACTATTGTTGTGTCTTTGCCGAGAAACTCAAAGTCGATTTCGTCTTGTGATTTGTCGCCTTCGAGGGAGGAAAGGTAGAGGTTGAAGTTGAGGCCGCTTGTGTTTCCTTTTGGGCATTGGATTTTGGCGGTGAAGGTGCCGTGGAGGAAACGGTTTGTGGAGCGCCACCGTGAACCGCCGCGGTGGTTGTAGGTGAGGGATATTGTGTTGGAGATGGGGCAGTGGGAACAGAGTTCTGGAGTGTAATCGATTGCGATTTCTTTCAGTGGTTGGGTATCGGGATGTGGGGGGAGAAGAACTGGATCTGACATTGTAGAGTGAAGAGATTTGTTTCGATCAGATTTGGAATAGAAGGGAGTGGAAAACGGAAAGAAACGTAAGAAAATAAGTTAATATGTTTTTTTTCCCACTGTTTGACTTTTAGATGACATTCATGTTTGATTTTATGGACACTAGAAGGAATGAAAGAGAGTGGGAAATAAAGTAGAGTATTCAACTTTCTTTTGTTTGGATTTCAAATAAGAAAATATTTTGAAGAGGCAAAAGAAAATATTTCTTTTCAAATTTGAATGAAAGTTGAAGGGAATCATTATCTATAATATAAGAAAATCATATGTGTAATTCTGGCATTGGCAGACAGATGCTGAACCAGATGTTAGGATATCATAGATCAGACATTAAATAAATTGTAGAAAAATAGTAGAAAATAAATAATACAGATCAATTGTTAATCCAGTTCGGTGTAACCTCACCTACATCTGAGAGTATCTAAGTCATGTTTGGATCTGACATTGTAGAGTGAAGAGATTTGTTTCGATCAGATTTGGAATAGAAGGGAGTGGAAAACGGAAAGAAACGTAAGAAAATAAGTTAATATGTTTTTTTTTCCACTGTTTGACTTTTAGATGACATTCATGTTTGATTTTATGGACACTAGAAGGAATGAAAGAGAGTGGGAAATAAAGTAGAGTATTCAACTTTCTTTTATTTGGATTTCAAATAAGAATGGAAGGAGAAAATATTTTGAAGAGGCAAAAGAAAATATCTCTTTCCAAATTTGAATGAGAGTTGGAGGGAATCATTATCTATAATATAAGAAAATCATATGTGAAATTCTAGTACTGGCAGACAGATGCCGAACAAGATGTTAGGATATCATAGATCAGACATTAAACAAATTGTAGAAAAATAGTAGAAAAATAAATAATACAGATCAATTGTTAATTCAGTTCGGTGTAACCTCACCTACATCCGAGAGCATCCAAGTCAGGAAGTAAATTCACTATAATAGTATTATTTTGAAGTCTAAACAATCCCAGTTTACAAACTTCTCACATAATCACTACTCGTACAATTTCTACCTAGAAACTCTTAGATATGAGACCCCCTCACTTCCCTCCACTCACAGCCCAGTGACAACCTAACAATGATAGACAAAAGATGGAAGACACTCTTCAAAGACAAACAATCCACTCTTGCTTAAAATCTTATGATGGATTTACAATTACAACTCAATCAAGGTCCAATTTAAGCATCTAAGAGATACATGAATGACTCACAATAAACACAGCTCAACTCTACTATTTAGTGGATCACAGAGAACAAACTAAACCCTATAATTCTTTTTTCAATACATGTCTTAGTTACTAAAATAAGGATTAGAACCGTCCTTTAAATAGCTAAAGAAAAACACGGGCTTGGGCTCTTCAAACAAATGTAATGCATATTCAAACAGCAACCGTAAATCTTCTGCAAAATCATCTACACAATAATAAGAACAAAATAGAAAGTTTTCTAAAAAGTATCCAAAATTCTTTTTATGAAGAAAAAAAAAAGAACTTCTAGCCCAGAACAAAAGTTCCTAAAATACCCATCCTTAGTCTACTACAGTATGAGAACAAAAATCATACAGAAACTCATATTTTAAAACCAAATCTTCCAAATACATGAAACTCTAGCTTCTTGTATAACATGTCAACACAGATGTTACACGACATCTATTCGTAGTGATGTCTGGCCTACATGTTAAGACATCTGTCACAAAGTCTGTCTTAGTGATGTTTCATCAAAATGTTAGAACATTTGTCCCAACATCATAGAACCATGTTTTAGCAAAATTATTGCCAATCCTAAAACCACGGAACTTCCAATCTCCCCTTTTGGCAAATTTTAGCTAAAACATCATGTGAATGATACAGCTGAAGATACAAACAAAAACAATCACACAATACAAGATACATGAACATCATGCATACTTGAAAACACAATCATAGTAACATGGAGCAACCCAAATCAGAGTTCACACGCAGCACACTCATACAGAGAGACTCAATCTCACACACATATAGAGAGAATTAGATTCCCTCACACTCCAGCATTCCAACAGAAACCATATGTCATGACATTGTGTGTGATATACAAAGTAGCATCACAACTAGAAGAGATATACTCTCTCAACAAACCAGTAACATGCTCCCTCTGTTACACTACTCTTTATGTCTCATTGGAATCAAAACTCCCCCTCAAGGGAACATTCACAAGCATCAAACTAAAATCACTACAGATGCTAAAACCTAACATCTAAGCATTGTAAATCAAGTCTTCTAATATGTTCAGATTGAAAGAGTACAATCTGCAATGTCGTAGCAACATGTCATGACATCTTGTCTGTTACACCCCAAAATTTACCTTTTAATTTTAACCATAAGTGGCTCATATGCTTCATTATCATTCATACATGCATGACATTGGTTATTGTGCTATAGGATCAAGTTCATTAATGAATTAGGATTTTCTCCTATCAAGAAGAAGGTGCAGTGATCAATCAATACAAGTTTGAGATATCAGTCATCAAGATCATTCTCATCTAGACACAAAGTCTTCTATCTATTCAAGTCATCATAGGTCATCAAAAAATCACTCATCTACTGTTCATTGGCTAAAAATGGATCACAAGTTTCCATTCATTTGTTTCTCCAAATTAGGTTTGTTTTTTACATCCTTTGTGTATAGTTTGGCTGTATAGTTTGGTTGAAGTGCAACAAGGTTCAACCGAGATTTGTTTTGAAATAAAGCTTTCGTCTCTTCATCATATGGTGCTTATTCAAAGTATGGCAAGTCAAAGAATGAAGTGGAAATTACAAATTGTTATGCAAAGATGAAAAGAGGGTTAAGGATGTGAAGTCCATTCAATTAATTGAAGACAATTATAACATAATTATTCAATTTTATATCACATGATTTATTCAAGATTACAGGATACAAACATATTCTACAATGTCAAAATTAATGTTTAATTATCCAAATTACATTCAAAACCCATTCAAATTCATGGCAAATTACAAATGTGGTCTAAGGTTAATTCCAAAAATTGGTGCCGAGTCTTGATTTCATTCTCTAAATCCCCCATGACCATAAACTTGATGTCCAAACCTCTCTTTGCTAAATCAGAACAACCCTGCAAAATTCAATGCATCATTCACACATTATCAACTTGTTACATCAGTACATAGACCACATAAAACTATACAGTTTTAATATAAAAGGAATCAACATGACAAGGCAAATAAAATCAGGACAAAAATAAATATCAGAAGTTTAAATGAGAGTAAATTTATATAAGAAAAATAAACCTTGAGATTGAAAGTCTGAATAAAAAACAAAATTTGACAATTCACTCATGACATAATTTCTATTTCATAATTAACTCAGAATTAGAAATCGATCAGAACCATCCATTCCTCCAGCAAACTTCAAGAATTCAACAGCTCAGATTAACTGAACTCTAACAAACTTTGAGATCTATATAACAGAACGCACCTCAGATCCAGGGGGGATTCATTATTTACCAATCACGTAAGGCTGAAGAACGCATACTTGAGTTATCAAAATCTCCTCTCTGGTTTTTTTATTAGAACAACTCCAAACAGCTTTGCACATGTTCACGTGTGAGCTCCCATCAGAGACGATCGAACGCGGAATCACTGAGGTGAGTTGAATCACAAAAGCAAAACAGATCGCAAAATGAAAGAAGATGAATGAACGGAAGCACACGGAGGCACTGAATCGACGAGAGTATGAGATGGAGGGAGCATGGCGGAGGTTGACGGAGGTTACCAATGTGAAGAGATGGTGAATCAAAGAAGAATCAACGCCATTTGAGGAGACGGAAGTATGAGACAGCGACGAGAGATCAGAATAATGTTCTTATGTCTTAACCCTATAGTAATGTTCTTCTCTTCATTTTTATTTAATTTTTTTGGTTAATAAAATATGCTGAATAATCATGTGTTTCTAATTGGACTTAGTTTTTAAAAAATGGAAATTGATATGAATTTGGTGATGATACTTGGGCTGGACCTAATTTCCCATGCTTAGGCCCATGGCTTTTTTTTCTGAACATTTGAGTGACAATAGAATAAAACTTGGCGGGCCTTTGTGCCAATTTATAGATTAAACATTTAAATCTGATGCCTCACCCCCTCTGCTTAGAATTTTAAATTGCTTTCCCTATTATTTTTCTTGCTTAGCATAACTATTGTTGATAAAAATATATGAAAAATAGATTGCATTTTTGTGTGATATTGTTGAATAAAAAGGGACTTGGTCGAAGAGTTTCAAGATGTTTCAAAGTAAGTTAAGATCCTAAACTTTATCAAGGAAATTCAATGAAGCTTTATGTAGAGTTTTCTTAGCGCTTGCGAGACTTTGAAGAGGCAACGAACCTTCTCCGTTAGGTACCATCCGAGCTCTCTTTACTCTCTCATTTTTACATCGTTTTCAATTAATCTTGCCGTGAGAAGTAGGATAGAGATGCATGACTGAAGACCTACCTCTGTAGGCATTGCCAAACCATATTTGTGACATAGCATAGTTGCATTTAAAGACCTACCTCGAAGTAGGTAATTTCTGATAATTTAAAGACCTACCTTGAAGTAGGCAATTTTTGATTGTTTAAAGACCTACCTTGAAGTAGGCAATTTTTGATTGTTTAAAGACCTATCTCGAAGTAGACAATTTCTGATTGTTTAAAGACCTACCTCGAAGTAGGAAATTTATGATTACTTGAAGTTCTACCTTGAAGTAAGCAATGTTGGTTCTCTGAAGACATACCCCTGTAGGCATTACGAATAATATTTTTGCGTAGTTAGGATGCATATCTTGATGCCATGTTTGTTGCTTTAAGCTTACTTGTAGCTAATTATGAGAATTCTTTTAATTCATGTTCGATATTTGTTATGACTCATGTTCATTTATTCTTTTGATTCATGTTCAAATGATGCTTGTTCATTACATTCTAGATTCATGTTCTAATTATATGATGCTTGTTCGTTACATTCTAGATTTATGTTTTAATTATATGATGCTTGTTCATTGACCTTATTTGATCCATGTTTAAAATATGTGATTCATGTTCACTTGCCTTGTTTTGATTCATGTTCATGCCATTAAGATACACGTTCTTAATTATTAATTCATGTTTAATAGTTGGTTAGCCTTTAGGATTCACGTTCTTAACACCTGGTAATACTTGCTTACTTTTCCTCTGATACCTATTCACATCTTGTAATACTTTTTTACTTTATGTTGATACATGTTCAATGTTTACTTTGGTGCATGTTTAAACTTTGAAATATTTGTTTACTCTATGTTGATACTTGTTCAATGTATGATACATGTTCCTAACTTTGTAATACTTATTCACTTTATTTTGATACATGATCAATACTTTGTAATACTTGTTTACTTTCTCTTGATACTTGTTCATGTATAATTCTTGTTCATCCCTCTTTAGATACATGTTCTAATTGCTTGATTCATGATCATTAATTGTAGTATACTTGACCTTGATGTTTGATACATATTCACTTTGATTGATACGTGTTCACTTTAATTGATTCATGTTCACTCACCTTGTTTGATTCATGTTCTTACATTGATACTTGTCGTACCCCAAATTTGCCCTATCTCTTTTATTCTTGTCTGGCTTCAAACTTTGTATTCCATTTGCATCATTTTATCATTCAGTCATTTGCATATCCCACATCTCAGGGAATCAGGCGCTTTGGTTTGAAGTATTAGGGCTACGCCCTCTTTTTGTCTAATCTTGTTTTGAGGTTTTCTTATCAGGTAAAAAGGAAGCACATCTGGTTCTCGATTAGTGGATCGTGGAACGAATTTTGTCATCACGCTACAAGGTTGGTTCTCGCTCAATTTTATCAGAGCCTGGATTAGGGTTTATTTCCCTATGTGTGCTGGTCAAGATGCTAGGGTTTTGAGTTTTTGGTTTCTGTGAAGATGTTTTTGTCGCCTGCCTCGAGGATGGCTCAAAGCTTAGTGTATTAGGCCTTTCTCACAAGGATTCTCAGGGTTTAAGTTTGCACAAGTGCATTGGGATCCTCCAGTACCAAAATTAAAAGGAAACTGTCAAAAAGAGAAAAAACAGATAAAAATATTATTTTGACAAATTTGGAGGAAAACAGGTCTCCTTTGATTCAGCACCCTTCGATTGACTCTAGGTCTCCTTCGATTCAGCACCCTTCGACTGACCCTAAGCCTCCTTCGAATGCAAGTTTAGGTGCATCCTTCGTTTGGATTTGAAACCTCCTTCGAATGCAACTTGGGTACATCCTTCGTTTGGATTTGAAACCTCCTTCGAATCCACTTGCACAAAAAGCCTCTTGCATACTTTGCCTCTCACAACTTTCATTTGAGCCACAACTTGCACGCAAAAGTTATCCCCCTTGCTAGCATGCACAAGGTACAAAGCCTCCTATAACTTCCTTCGATTCCAAGGCAAAAATCTCCCTTTTGGGGTCCTTCGATTTGCACTTTTTTGCCTCATGTATGCCTCTTTCGAATCTGGACATTTTGCCTCATGTATGCCTCTTTCGAACCTGGACATTTTGCCTCATGTATGCCTCTTTCGAATCTAGACATTTTGCCTCCTGTATGCCTCTTTCGAATCTGGACATTTTGCCTCCTGCATACCTCTTTCGAATCTGGACATTTTGCCTCCTGCATGCCTCTTTCGAATCTGGACATTTTGCCTCCTGCATGCCTCTTTCGTTTGGGCATGTGGCTCCCTTCATACAAGTCTTTATTTGAGCATTGACCTTTTGTGTGCTTGCTTGGAGTCACAAAGTTTAGACCTTCTCCATGCAGGCTTCGACAAAACATTGACTACGTTTGTACTAGCTTCGACTGGACAACATTTCTCTTTAGTCTGCTGCATTTCCATCCTTGACAAACTACAACACATGGTTGATGGCCCCTTCAAAATACATATAATGGTGGACTTGAGGGGCATACATATGAGTCCCTGTCGAAGGGTACGCCTGACTAGTCCATTCGAAGGACATGCTTGAGGGCCCATTCGAAGGATTTACAAAGCCCTACCTTAAGACACATTTGGCCCCTTCAAACGATGCACAAAGGTGATTCGTTCGAAGGACACTTGTTGGAATAAAGTTAAACAATATGTTGGAAGAAGAATCTGGTCGAAGGAGGGTCAAAATGAAAGGATGAAATATTCAAAGATGCTTGCTGTCAAGTTCAGGCATGGTACACTGGCCAAAACTGCTGCACAGCAGTCCTGAAACACTGCCCCATTCTTGCACCAAAACAGCATACAACCACTGTCCCTCGAAGGCTACAAAGAGCAGTTTACCCAAATTGTTCAAATTATTTTATTTTCCCTCCAAAAGCTTCAGCCAACTTTGCCTATAAATAAGAGGCTCCAACACATGTTTAAGGGAGGATCTTTGGACCAGAGGAACGAATCCCCCAAATTTTCTCAAACACAACAAAAATCTCAAGTTCATCAACACTTGAGAAATCAAAAAAACCCAGAATCCCAAACACTCACCTCTTTCGATTCTGAAGAACACCCCACACATAAAAGTTTGCTCAAACTCAAAGACAACCTTCTGAGACAACTTTTCGAACCAAAAGAGAACCCCCTGTGACTACTCTTCGAATTCCAGAAACTTCCAGGTAGCAGTTCAAGTTCGAAACCCACATCCATTCAAGGCCTGAAGCAAGGTAAGTTATTCTTACCTTTGAACTTTTCGTTCCATGGCATAGTAATTTCCCCTTTCGTTTGAAACATGTACATACCATTGTTCCTTTCGTTTCCACCCTTTTAACATATTTTTCAGAGCTAACCCTTTCGTTTTTGCTTTCTGTTTACCTGAACTTGCTTTAACTGTTAAACTATTTACCAAACAAATACTAGCATGGCCTCAGGCCATGTTGCCATTTAATGCTTTAAATGAAAGAAACAGGAAACAGGAAATAGGAAACGAAGCTTCTGGCTTCTACCCTCTTTCTCCAGGTCAAACGAAAGAGACAACCAGGAGGAAAACCATGTTGACTTCTAGGCCCAAACGAAAAGTATGCCTTCACTGACTTCCAGGCTCAGTCGAAAGGCATTCCCTCACTGCTTTCAACCTCCAGTCGAAGAAGGCAACAAGGCAGAACCAGAAGGCTTCGCCATACACTGACTTCCAGG